CTTTCCCTGGAACCTTGTATTTGGTCTTCTGATTCACAGCATACAACCCAACTGCAAGAGCACAAGTCAAAGAGGAAAGGTTGAGAGGGCGGGAACCTTCCACCTCTCAGATCCTCAGTGTCAGAGAGTGATCCTGTCTAGGTGTGAAGTGCTCGGTCTTATTTGTGCTGCTGGATGATACAGGAAGAGGGAAATTCAGGGGCTAGTAGGGTCTGGGGGTGCTGATGGAGTGTTGGCTGAATATGAGCCAGTGTGTGTGCCCAGGTGGCCAAAAAGGCCACCAGCATCCTGGCCTGGATCAAAACAGCATGGCCAGCAGGAACAGGGAAGTGATTGTGCCCCTGGACTTGGCACTGGTGAAGGCTTGAGCACTGGGTTCAGTTTTGGGCACCACAGGATAAGAAAGACTTGGAGGTGCTGGAGTGGGTCCAGAGAAGGGCAGCGAGGCTGCTGAAGGGGCTGGGGGACATGGCCATGGCGGGTGAGGAGTGGCTGAGAGAACTGGGATTGTTTAGCTTGGAGAAGGGTCAGGGGAGACCTTATTGCTCTCTGCAACTCCCTGAAAGGAGGCTGGAGTGAGGTGGGTGTTGGCATCTTCTCCCAAGTAAGTAGTGACAGAACAAGAGGAAATGGGCTTAAGATGCACCAGGGAAGTCTTAGATTGGATATGAGGAAGAATTTCTTTCCTGAAAGAGTGGTGAGGCATTGGCACAGGCTGCCCAGGGAGGTGGTGGAGTCACCGTCCCCAGAAGTGCTCAAAAACCATGTAGACCTGGCACTCTGGGACATGGTTCAGTGGTCATGGTGGTGTTGGGTTGATGGTTGGACTTGATGATCTTAGAGATCTTTTCCAACCTTAATGATTCTATGAAATGGAAGAGAAATAGAATAAAGCAAGACCCAGCAGCAGCAAATTACCACATCAACAGCCTCACCAGGTAAGAACATATCTACCAGCTGTACCTAATGAAGAATGGCAAGTTAGATCTAACTAAACAAAGGTACAGAACCTAAGTATCTCCACAGAGACAGCAATCACACAAGTGGTCTGGGCTAGTTGTAGACCAAGAAAGAAAAACACATCAAACACTGTGGAAAAAAAACAAAAGAGGTATTACCTATAGCAAAATGTCAGCATTAAGAGTTCAACAGTTACTGATGTGAGAGTGGTAAATACCAGTGCCTGGCCTGCCTCTGCCTGAAGCCCAGCTGCCTTTTTCTTTTTTGCAGCAGCTTGTAGCAGGGCGTGTTGAAATGCACCACCCCGAGGGTGAGGCACCACAGGGAACTCAGCCCAGCATAACTGTGGTTTGCCTCCAAAGGAGCAGTCACCAACTGTCCACCCTGCTTCTACCCTCTGGCTGCCTCCTTCCACTCCTGCCTTCCTATCGACTCCAGTGACCACACAGCTGGAGGGCACAGCAATGTTGGTTTGGCAGCTGGACACAAAACTCTCAAAACTTAGAGGAAAAAAAGAAATAAATAAAAGGATAGTTTTCCTGCTGGTTCAGTGAGCTGCATGTACTCTGTAGCCTCACAACAGCTAGACGTGCAGAAGGAGGAGGCATGGAACTTGTCACCTGAAACCCCAGCAAGCTTCTTTTCGTGGTCATTTATTGTTTCCAGGGGTGTGAGTCATTCCTGGTGCCTCGGATGCAGGGAGGCACTGGAGGCTCTGGGTTCAGAACATGAAAGCCAACACTCACCCAGCTGGGAGAAGCGGAAGAGCTCGTCCTCATTCTCAGTTGTGTGGTCCACGTTGAGCTGAGTCACCTGCAGCCCATCCACCGTGGACTTGCACAGCAGTGCCCGGTTGGTACCTGCAGTGGGAGCAGCGAGATGAGGCACCAGATAGCTCTGTTGTTAAGGGGGAGAACACAGCCAAAGGGAAAAGGAGCAGGAGAGGGGAATAGAGACAGAAAAGAAGAGAAAGGCTCATGTGCTGTCTCATCGTGATCTCCAAAAAGCAGCCTTGCTAGCAGCACAGTAGGCCTGCCAGGCAGCTCTTCATCCAGGCCTGAGCTGGCACCTCAGAAGAAAGCTCTCCATTTCTCAGCAAACTACTGCCTCTCAACCCATTTTCTCTCTCTTTGGTTATACACATTGCATCAGCCAACAGCTGCAGAGAAAAAAAACAGCCAGGCTGATTTCAAGTGCTCCTGTAAGCAACACGTGTGTCGCTACTTGGCCACAGAGCAAAGAAACTGTTCCCCCACATACAAATTTCTTTCCCTTCCTAGAACCACAGCCATCCTCAGGAGACTGAGGTGCTGACAAAAAAACAACTCACCCACGTTGGCGATATAGAGCTTGTTGTTGAGAACAACTGCCACGATAGCCATGGCTCCTCCAGAGATCTCCTGCTCTACAACCTTCAATCTCTCCACGATCTTCTGGTACTGAGGGGGAAGCTGGTGGTGAGGGACACCCTGGAACCCAAAAGGAGTGAGAAAGCTTCAACACACAGTCCACAACACAGAAACCACAGCTGGAATCAAAATTCTGTAGGGGGAGGACTCCTCTTGGCATGTCTTAGCCTCGTGCCAAGACTGTTATTTGTTACAATTATTTGTTAGATCCTGATAAATGACACAGCTTCAAGAAGGTTCTGGAGACAACAGTCCAGTTGGCTTGAACAGCATCCACACCTCCCCAGATGCCATGCAGATCTGAGGCCTTGACTCTCATCTGTGTCATATGGCTTTATCCCAGAAGAGCCACACGTACAGGTTGAACTCCTCTCCATGATATGCTCAGTTCCTTACTAAGACAACCAATGATGGGTCTAAATAGTGCTAGTGGGAACAGTGGGAACGCTGGGAAATGCACCAAGATGTTTGCTTCCCTTCACACAAGCTCCCAGGAGAGAACCATGGAGAAATAATTTCCCACTACAGCCTCCTTTGCACCAGACTGACTAATATCCCCAAACCTCATCCAGCAATTTGGAAGGTGGGACCTCCAGCAACTTCTGTTCTTAAGGCTACATTACCTCTGGTAGCTGAGACTGCAGGCTGGCCTTCTCTGCCAAGGCATCATCAATGGACTCCAGGAAACTTCTTTCCACCACATCAAAAGCCTAAGAAAGGCCATAAAGAGACACTATGCTTTTATCCAATGCTTTTACAGAGCTTAGAGGCTACCCAGCTGCACCTCCCTAGGACTGGATGATCACTGTACACACAGACACCCAAGGATCACTACATCACCCTGAAATACAATTATTTCAGTGCAATTAGTTAACAGGTTGTAAAAACAATCAGCAGCAACTCAAAACAGGAGTCAAAACCATAAAAATCACATTCACAGCAACGTCAGAAACCTATCAAATTTTGTGTCTTGATTGTAAGAGCTCACCTATCACTCAAGAAATCACACTCACAAATCCATCTCCCTACACATCAACTTTCCCCTTTCACTCACTGTCATCTCCTGCACAGGCTGACTTGTTCCTACAAGTCCAGTGAAGACCAGATGCATCTTCCTGGAAAGCTCTCAGCACTGTGCTGACAGAGCCAGGGGAACAGATGGGTACGAGGTGGAGTGAAACAAAGCACTACAGATGCTCAGGATGAGTGCAATGGCAACAATTGGCAGATGTTTCCAACCCCCATGGAAACCAGATGCTGCTTCCCTGGCAGCCAGAAGAGAAGGTGGGTGTTGTGAGAAGCAGGAGCAGTTCCCAGCCTAAGCTTCTTTACCTGCAGCAGAACTCGACGCACATCGGCGTCACTGTGATCGGCGTGGAGCTGGCCTAGCAGCAGTTCTGCAGAGAGCCTCTGACCCACAAAATTGGTGACTCGGTTGCCATCGTAGCCATTGAAGACACCATAGAGGTAGCAGTTGTTCTCACTCCTGTCCAAGACAGCAGAAGCAAAGAGGTCACAGGAATTGGTGAGATGCAGACGCAGGTAACAAGTTCTTCCAGACACCTCCCGAATGCTTGGGCCCCACCCTCTTCTTCCAATTCCCATGTGACAAACCAAACACCACTTTTACCTGCCCTCGTGCTTGAGGGAGTTTGGGTGCCAGTTGCAATCCACTCACCTGAATTTTAACCAGTTATCTTCCAAGGGGTGACCCTCTGTCCCCTTCCCATCTGCACTGTAGGACCGGTTTGGAGCTGAGCCCACCCCAGAGAGGTGACAGGATGGTAAGTCGTCTGTCCAACTGGGCTGCTGCTCCTGGGAGACAGGAAGGGGAAAGAGACCATGTAAAAGCAGCCTCAAGTGGTCCATTACAGGTTAGAAGCTCATCCTCACCCTCTCCTCAACGCTTCCCCCTGTGCTAACAGGGCAGCACACCACCACAGCCAGTAATTTCATACTCCCTGCTGCAGAACTGGATCATTCACCACATCCTTTCCCTCTGAAGCTGAGATCTGGCTCTTGCCAAGAAGAAACCAGAGGTGAAACTTGCACCCGAGTTTTACACTCGATAGAGCACGGTGGCAGCCTGATTTGACGAATCAGACCCTCAAGCACCTGGGCATGGGTAGTACTGGGTCGGTTCCTGGCTGGAGCAGGACAAGGGGCCTGGGGCCGTGCCCGACCGCTCACAAACGCACACAAACGCCAGCTCCCCCCCTCACACTGCACAGCCCCTCGAAGCCCCCAGCACAGGTTGGGTCCCCTCAGCCACCTGCACCCCTCCACACAGCGACGGACAGCCCAGGGTGGGGGCCGAGGACCCCGCGGGGTCCCTCCCGCAAGCTGGGACCCTCTGCCCTCAGGCGGCACAGGGGGCGGGCGGGCGGCCAGCGCCCTCCCTCTGCCCACAGGGCGGGGTTGGG